ATAGAAGGCAAGGGTAGCCGAGTCTCGGCTTTCCTCAAATGGAATCAATGCCCTCTTTGTAGGCTCAAAGGAAAGAATTAGCTTTTGAAAAGAATAGTGGGTTCAGTGAGAGAGATGACTGCAACAAATAAGACTGTGATCTATTCAGCAGAGGTAGGAGAGAACAGAATGAAACTTTGCGTCTCCGCGGCCATTTATTCTAGATCAGTCTCGCAATTGCCAAATAGGCGGCAACACCGGCCACAATCGCAGTGAGAGTCACAGCGCTCCTTGCTTTCCGACCACCAGTTCGATGGACGGTTTCATCAACAATATAATCCGCACACTCACTGCAATGCCACCAACGAACAACACAGACGATATCCCGCTTCCGACCCCACACGATGAGCCCATGGATACCGACCACATCCACCACGACGCAGACGGTGTACCCGAGCTACAGCCCATGGCTGACTCGTCGGACGATGGGGTCGATCATAATTCTGACGAGGAAGAGGACGAGGAGGAAGAGGTGGTGATGCAGACTGTCAATGACGACGGCGGGGAAGACATCCCGCCTTTGGAGCCCATACAATCCAATCGCAACCGGCGGCCGCGGGTGGAAGACGACGAAGACTCAGAGCGGGACCGCAGACACCCCTCTCAGCGCATCAATCAGCCGCTTGACGTAACGACCGCCGCAGCGCAGGATCAGGATCCAAATCCACCCTTTTTGAATGGGCCTACCAACGCTGGCCTTGCGATCCCCATTTTCCCGAGGTTGCCTGATGCTGCGCCTCAAGGGCAGGCCAACCAGAATCAACCTAATCAGAATCAAAATCAGCAGCAACAGCGCCAACCCCTCGTCAACGGCTTCGCCATCACAGTCGACATCAACGGACAGCGTGTCGTACGGCCTCTCCCAGGCGGATTCACCTTGGATCCTGCCAACGGCGCAGCAGGCGCTGGGTTCGCCGACTTCCTCACATTCCTTAGTGCACTCTCAGAGCACGAGACAGACGACCCCGAGCGCGCGAAGCGGCTCGTTGACGCGCTCGAAGAGGTACCGGTGGGGCTTGTGCGGCGGCTTGAAGCGCTCAGTGGGAAGACGTCGTCTGGGGACGGACAAGGCATGGGCGCGGGCGACTGCTCGTGTGCGATTTGTTGGGATACATTGTTAGATGGCGAGGGCGGGTTTGGAGTTGAGGGCGAGGGCAATAATCATCAAGAGCAGTCTATGGAAGGCTTAGAAGGACAGCAGCAGTCGGAAGCTTTGGAAGAACAGCAACAGCCCCAGTCTACGGATGAACAAGACGCCTCAACCTCAACGCCCTCATCTTCAACCGCACCTCCACACGCACAAGACCCCGCATCTCCACCCACCCAGGACCCCGCACCTTCACCCACCCAAGACCCCGCACCTCCACCCGCCCAAGACCCCGCACCTCCACCACCAACTTCCTCAAACCTCGTCTCATCCACCGATCCCACACAGCCCAAAATCGTATCTCTTCCATGTGCCCACGTTTTCCATGCCGCATGTCTGATCCCGTGGTTCTCCCGCCCGAGACAGACCACGTGTCCGACGTGCAGGTTCAACATTGATCCAGAAAGGTTGACGGCGAGGAGACAGTCGCCGGTTTATTCGTTTGAGGCAAGGAGGAGTGGAGCGAGGGGACAGGGACAGGCCCAAGGGGGAGAACAACAGCAGCAAGAGGATGGTGCGGCTGGGACAGTACCGGTGGGCGATGGGCAAGGTTGGCTTGTTTTCGTTTTTCTTGAGAGATTATTCTGATTGGATTTGTGTGTCTAGGTGCTGCTACTAATGCCGATGCGAATGCGCCTCCGGACGCTGCGCAAGCAGCAACCCAGCCCCAAGCTCAACCACAACCTGCAAATGCTGGCCAACGTCCCGCACACGGACCAGGCGCCATCCTCACGATTGGGTTTGACATTGTTATTGGTCCTAATCCCCATATGGGTGCTCATGCCAACGCCAACGCCACCAATGCCAACCCCGCCCCGAATCCTAACGGTGCCGCTGTAGATGATAATGTAGATGCGGAAAACACAGCCCAGAACACAACCCAAAATCAGAATCAAAACGTGAACCCTACTTTTAATATGGGCCCGATGAACATGGGTTTTAACATGGGTGGTATGGATATGAACTTGGGTCCAGGCATGAACATGAACATGGCTGGTATGGGCATGGCCATGGGCCCGATGGGAATGGACATGGACATGGACATGGGTATGGATGAGGGAGACGAAATTGAAGAAGTAACGATGATGGATATGAATGATGCGGATGCGAGAGAGTTGGGTGAGATTCTACGAGGGGCGTTGCCTCCTCACGCTCCTCATGCCCATACTCATGCCCCTGCTCCTCCTCATCATCCTCACTTTCACGCTCCCCAGCCTCACGCTCCCCATCATCCTCAGCCTCCCCATCACGCTGCTCCTCCCCGTCCACACACCGCTCCCCCCGCTCCCGCCTCCACACATAATCCAGGTGTAGATGTAAGTGTAGGTCCGGCTCAACCGCAACAAAGACAAGGACCGCAGCAGGGGCAGCCTATGATGGGCGTGTTTACAGGCACGGCAGCGGGCCGAACGATGGGCGAGGCATTCGCGGCGTTGTTTAGTCAGCCGCTTCAGCCTCTTCAGCCGCAGCAGGGACAGAGGATGGGACAGGCTCAGCCGGGTGCGGGTATCCAACTTCCGGGTGGGCAGGCGGAAGGACAACAGGATGGGGCGGGACAAGGACAACAGCAAGGATGGAATGTGGGAGAAGGACACCACCATCAACGACAGCAGGCGGGACAAGGACAGATACCGGACGCCACAGCGTTTCGCAATTTCCTGTCCGCGCTGTTTTTCACTATGGCGCAGGGGCAAGCGAGAGGCACGGGTGCAGGTCAGGCGCAGTGGCGCGGTGCGAATAATAATATTAATATGCAGGCGCAGGCAGCTCAGGAGCAGGAACCGGGGGAGATGGGGGGTCAGCACGATCATAGTCAGGATCAGGAGCATACCCAGGAGGAAAATCAAAATGAACCTCAGCCACAATCTCACCCGCCGCCCAACCCGCCAAATCAGCCACAAAACGCAGCCTCTCCAGGCACAGACTCCGTCCTGGCCCCGTTACCACAAGGGCTACCCGCTGGTGCGCCTGGTGCGATGCTTCCCTTCAATCTTGGGAATTTGTTGGGCTTGGCGTTTGGGGGTGTCAATGTTGATGGTGGTGAAGGCGGTAGTGGAGGCGGTGGCAGTGGCAGTGGAATGGATCAGAATGCTAATAATGGGACGAATGACGGAGGTAGCGGGAATGGGAACCAGCCCACCGCTAACGCTAACGCGCATGGACCGGCGATGAATATTCCTTTCGTGCCGTTTGCTTCGCTCTTCCCTGGTGCTACGCTCACGCCTCCGCCTCCGCCCGGTACTGCGCAGCCTGTTCAAGTACCTGCACAACAAACAACACAACCAGAGCAGCAACGACCCGCAGACACTCAGGAGCAAGTAGAACAACAACCACAAGTACAGCCGGATGACGATCCTTTGCTGAGCATGTTTACGCGTCTCTTCCCCGGGCCGGATGCTTTTGCCCCTCAGAATCTCAACACTCCTCATGGTGCACAGCAGCAGCAGCCCCAACCTCAGCAGGCTCCACCTCTGCCGCCTTGGGCACGGCTCTTCCAACCTCCCCCTCCTCTCAACCTGTTCAACCCCGGCCCTGCCCCCGCGGGCGCCGCCCAGCCCCAAGCACAACAAGGACAAGGACAGCCTCAGCAACCTCAACAACCACAACTTAATCATCAGCTTCCGATTCCAGGCCTCGCACGCTTGTATCCCCCATACCCCTCGCGCGCACCAAGGGAGAAAAAACCATGGACGCTTCCTCCGCCTCCAGGTCCGACGTTGCGCCAGCGCATTGAGAAGAGGGAGCGCGAGGCGGGATTCAGGTGCTATGATGTTAGCTGTGGAGTTGGACCGAGCGATGAGGATCCGTTTGTTGGAGCTGGGTTGACGGAGGGAGCGAGGCGGCAACTGAGTATCTGTGTGCGTGGTGCGGATGGGCAGGAAGAGAAAGGTGAAGTGGTGTGTGAGCATACGTTCCATCCTGCATGTTTGGTTAGTGCGGCGAGGGTCGCGAATGCGTTGGGAGAGGATGGGGGAGAAGGGAAGGGCGAGGGGGGTCTGGTGGATGTTAGTTGTTCGGTTTGTAAAGGTGTCGGGGGTGTTAGGAGGGGAGATTGGGACGAGGGTGTTCGGGCCCTTGCCTGATCGATGATGACCGAAGTGAAGTCGCTGACATCGAGCTATTTATCTTCCGTTTTGTCTATTCGCCATTCAAGCAATCAGTTTATCAGCATCAAATACCAATTATTCGACAGCCGGCATCGGTACCTTCATTGCTTGATACCATCCACACATTCATTCATCTATCACCACCATCGATCATCTCTCATTTCGGCTTCGTCTCTATACGTGTAATCTGCAAACGCGTCGTCCGTTCGTCATTCGTCATTCGCATCGCACACTCCCCCCAACCATTCATGATCATTCCATCTTCACGACACTGCACACAAACTCATCACGTATCGATTGTATTTTGCACCCTGTCTAATGTGAGCCTCTCGCTTTTGCCTTTTGACCCATGAAACTAATGGAGTGCTTTCCGTCAGATTCCCAAAGCGAGCTCGAGCTTAGCTCGGCTCAGAACTTCTCCCTTCTTCCATCTTAAGTAGTTTGCATTTCCTGTCCCCGAACTTGTAACTTGGAGTTGACTCGTTAGTATCGTACGTATTATAATAGACTGTTTGCCTTTTTGCGCATGCTAGGGCTGAGCTATTGTTGTTTCTCGCCGTCGATCTCTGCTCGCCACTACATATTGCTAGGTGGTCAATATCCCGTATATGCAATATTCATCGAGCATGATGCACAATGCATAAATCGTCGTGCTATGGAGGTTGCTCATGGTTACTTGAAAAATGAAGAAAAATAGTCTACAAAAATTCGGATACGGGGAATCGAACCCCGAGCTGCCGCGCGCTTGAACAAGTTATTTCACAATGAGAGGCGGCAATGTTAGCCATTACACCATATCCGATATGCGTTAAGAAAAACCAACAAAATATTGCTGCTATCAGAGGCTCTAACAATCCAATAAAATTAAAATTCCGGTACGGGGAATCGAACCCCGAGCTGCCGCGAATGTACAATGAAAGGCGGCAATGTTAGCCGTTACACCATACCGGACTTTTAAATAAAAGCTGTTAACGTATCCTATGATGGCTCCCCTAAAACGGGGATACATCAGTCCAAAAATGTCAAGGATCGACGCGAACTTCTTCGAACCCCCAACTTCGACCTTCAAACATCTCGTGTAAGATCCGTACTCATATGACAGTACACAGCCTTCAATGTTACGTATCATGTTCCCTATAGCTTTCGACTTCCCGAAGCACCTGCCTGACAATGGAACTCGGGAACCTGGGGAGAAGCATTGAATAGGCTTCAAATGGACGGGCCTGACGCACGACCTCGATTTACTCTTACTTTCCTATGAATTCCTTCGCTGTTCTCGAACAGATACTCCTCGTTGCTGTGTTGGCTCAGACTTCGTTGGGAGTAATTGTACCGCGGTTTGAGGACCTTCCCAGGACCGATTATGACTTTGTGATTGTCGGAGGTGATATCGCGTACACATAAGTGTATCAGGACAGTCACTAAGAAACGTTAGGCGGAACTGCTGGCCTCGTTGTTGCAAACCGATTGACCGAAGATCCTCGCCGCTCTGTGCTAGTTATCGAAGCCGGGGGCACGTAAGTCTGCTCAAGGCATTGACACCAGTGACCTTACGACCGATTTCTATGAAGCGATGCCGACGTTTTCAATACAGAGGTGCCCTTCTTTAACAGTCGCCTGTTCAACACGCCTGCGGACTGGAACTATACTACTACACCTATGACGGGCTTGGATGGGCGGTCTATGGGCTACCCACAGGGCCATATTCTTGGTGGCACCAGCTCGATCAGTATGACATGTTCGTGTGGCCGAAGTCATCCGCATTTAACATTCTTCTTTCCTAGATGGTCTTGCCTACACACGTGGTTCTTCCGACGACTATGATCGGTATGCAAGGTTGACCAAGGACACTGGGTGGTCATGGAACAATGTCCAGCCGTATCTCCGTAGAGTATGTCCTGAGGTATAGTGATCTTGTCCTTTCTCAATTTGACCTTCAGAATGAGAGATGGACTGCACCTGCCGACCATCACAATACTACAGGAGAATTCGACCCCTCCGTACATGGCTTTCATGGCATAAATGCTGTCAGTCTTCCGGGATTTGTATTCTCCTTTGATCATAGGGTCATTCAGGCGACGTCCGAACTCCCGGAATTTCCCTTCAATTTGGATATGAATTCTGGAAACACAATCGGCATCGGTTGGTTCTCCCATGTAACTTTCGGAAGTCGGCTCACGCCGTTGAACACAGGTTGGACACAATCTACCATCAAGGCTGGAGTACGAAGTAGTTCAGCTACATCTTATCTTGCGCCGGAATTTGTACGACGGCCAAATCTACATGTATTGACTCATTCTCGTGTGACACGCGTATTGAAAACCGGTACTTCTCGCGGATTGCCTGTCTTCAAGGGTGTAGAGTTTGCAGATGATAGTAGCCCCGGAGGTTAGTCCGGGTGCACTGGGGGGCGAACGCTACCTGACCTTTTCGACAATCAGCTAGACCACGTCATAGAATTACCGCCAAGAACGAAGTGATCCTATCTGGAGGCGCTATCGGCACTCCACACATCCTTCAAAACTCTGGCATCGGAGACTCGTCACGTCTTTCCAAAGTTGGCGTCGAACCACTCGTTCACCTTCCTTCAGTAGGTCAAAACCTGACGGACCACCCGTTCGTGGCGAACACTTGGCTTGTCAACTCTACGGATACGTTCGAGACAGCCTTGCGAAATGTCACTCTGATGGAAGAGCAGATTAGGCAGTGGAATGAAACGCATATGGGGCCATATTCTGCCGGCACGTTCAATATCGCGGGATGGTTGCGTCTTCCGGATAACTCGACGATATTCAAGAAATTTCAAGATCCATCGGCAGGACCACATGGCGCTCATTATGAATTCATCATTGCTGTGTGTATTCCCTGTCATTTGACTTCCGTTCGCTGAATAAAAGCTTCGCAGAACGGCATGACGCGTCTGCCTATACCTCCTACAGGGAACTTTATGGTCATTGGCACAGCGATCGTAACACCTCTGTCACGTACGTCTCGCAATTGATATGTGCAACGAACAAGTGTATCTTATTTATCTATATCTAGGTGGCAGCGTCTTAATAAATTCCAGTAACCCCTTCGACCCTCCAATCATCAATCCCAATCTCCTTGACTCCCCCTTCGATATCTTTGCGATGCGCGAAGCCATCCGTGCCTCCCGTCGATTCGCTCAAGCACCCATTTTCTCGGATTACGTCATCAACCTCGTCGATACTGCCGTCACCGACGACGAACTGGACACCTTCATTCGCAGTTCAGCGATCACTGTCTCGCATATGGTCGGTACGTCGTCGATGTCGGCTAAGGACGCAAGCTATGGTGTCGTGGATCCGGATCTGAGAGTTAAGAATGTCGTGGGTCTTCGGGTTGTTGATTCGTCGATTATTGTGAGTTGGATTTACCTATGCTACTTTGGGTTGTGGAGAAAGACTGATTGATTGTGTAATGCTCATAGCCGTTAGTTCCTGCTGCGCACACGCAGGTTGCTACTTACGTCGTGGCGGAGAGAGCGTCTGATTTGATCAAGGCTGCATGGTGAAAGAAAGTAATAAGGCTTGAACGTTTTTTGTTCTGAATTATAGCCAGAATTAAAGAATAGCTGATTTGTCTATATAACATGCTCTGCATTGAGACTAAATCCAGATGAATACACGAGAGTACCTAGCAAGCAATCAAGGCGTTCGAGTATCCAGCACACCTGGGACAGTTTGGCTTGATTGTGACAGTTTGATATCATCCCAAATACTTTACAATATCGCGACAACCATTGGCTTTTTGCAGTAGTATTAGCATCAACGGGTTCCCATCCCTCCGCATCTTCGACCGTACTGTTGCGTTCTCTGTCCAACAAGACCTTAATCAAATCTGCAGTTGAATATCCATTCTAAACTGTTCCTCGTTGTAGGGTGTCAGAATGCCGCCAGCAACCCTTATCAAAAAGATAAAATGCAATGGCAGAGTGTCCCCACTTCAGTGGCATATCAATGGCTGTCCCAGAATCAGGAGGTTTGTTTGGTGCATGTATGAGAGCGGGTTCTCTTTCAGCCAGGACCATGACACCATCCAGATTGGCACCAACTGCAGCCATATGCAAAGGAGTATTACTATGATTATCACAGCAATAGGTGAATAGGACCACAAGAGGAATCAGATCATGTTCTAATAATGATATTGTACCCAGGAAAAACTTCCATCTATTCAGGAGCTCAGGAACAACCTCAGAAACAATTCCTTTGACTGAAAAATTTGATGAGTGGTTTAAAACCCAATCAAGGGTGTCACACATGGATTGGGGAGTAGTCTGAAACAGGTAGTACTAGAAGATACAACATCATACTCCCCATTCTTCAAAGATTTTGTGGATATACTTGGCCATTTTATATGTGGCACTTTTCATGCCACAAGAACCATAAAGCATGCTTTGCAGTACAGAAGGCAAAGAAAATGAGTTGAGGAAGAAAGGGGAGGCGATACAGGCAGTCAAGGTAGATGGCAAGGATCATAGCAGTTCACAAATGGAATAGAAATGTAAGAGTAGTTATAAAAGCAACCACTCCACATATAGAAGAGGATCATTGGAAGACATAGAGGACTAGTCTAATGAGGAAGATGGCAACTGAGCTATGGAGGATTACAGGAAGACTCTCAATGATATCTCCAAATGAGACCTTGAAAATGGGAATGTTGAATGAGAGCCCAAGTTTTAGCACCACCAGGAACAATTGATGTATAATATAAGCCTTTCACTTAACATTGGCTTTAGAGTTGAAATGATAATACATGTACTCACCTGAATCCATTGTTTGGCTAGGACAGTGAGAAGGGCAGTTGGCAATGACAATACAAGGCTAACGAAGAATAATCCATCAACCCATTGATTGGTCAAAGTGTAAATGACAGAATCAAGGGCAGCAGCTAACAGTACAGCATTGAGGCTGGTACTATTTCCTGCAGCAACAGCTGGTTAGTCTCTAAAAGGAGGGAGACAAAGATTTGTGTATTATCCAGTTGCAATGCTTGAGATGTCTGAGCCACAGATGTTGCAACCATGGCAGAGAAAAGAGCTACCTGGCCTGGATACGAGAAAGAGAAAGAGCATTGAAGGAAAGTTGGTAATGACCTACAAAGACTAGAAGACCCTCATATTGCATCTGCATTGTAGTTCTCCTCTTTGTCAAGATACACATTCCACACTCAAGTGTTCTCCTTGACTTCCCCTCCTAGCTTATTGGTGCTATACTTTTGCCTGTAATTGTAGATTTGACTACCTGCCGGACAAGTTAGATTTTGAGCTTCAACATAGCAAAACTCAGGTCCTGTCAATAATGAAGACATGATATTTGACACTACTTCATGTCATCTCATCTCCTGAACTGTTATCAGGCCCATTGGTACTCATTCCTTTCCAAATTTACCTGCCAACTTGACTATGCCCCCAGCAACAAGGACCCTGCAGATGCCACATCCAGACAACAATGTCTTTATCAGTGACGTCCCACAAGTTCGCCACGAGGCAAGGACTGAAACAATTGATCTTGAACAAAGAACGTACGCGTTGAAGGTTCGATGGAACTGACCTTCCGGCGAGCATGTAATTAAATGGCGTCCCAACTCTATCAAAATCACCCATTTCGCGAAGCGCACCAGAAGAACAACCCCATAGCATCGTCGCTGCACATACAGACAAGTTTCGTATCTTGTGCGATCGAATATATTGTTCGCCGCCTCCATGTCCGAAGTATCTGAGGAATAATCGATTATCAGCCTTGAAATAAACAAATCAAGAATGACGCGTACACCACCAGG